AATATACTATATAAATGTAAAAATAAAAGGCCTGAAATTATCTGCTTCCAATATTACAATATAATTTAAATTTCATTTGATTTGGTTTGTTGATATCTGTATGAACTCAATAATCAAAAAAAATGTGCATCTCTGTACATCCATCTCTGTCTTCAGCTCCAGATAAAACATGCTGTGACCCAGGCTGAGATCCAGCAGCTCAAGAGGAAGGTATGACTGTCCGTCACAGACACCACTTGTACATGTCATTTTATTTGCTTGCTTTTGATTTGAATAAACATTTGTAAGAGATCTTTAAACAACCTTTATTTACCCTTGTGACGATCTCTCTGTCTCTCTCTAGCTGGCTCACGCTGAGCAGGATAAGCTGCGCTGGCGGATGGAGAGGGCTCAGTTGGAGCAGACGGTGAGAGAGAATAAGGAGCGGATGGAGAAGTTGGAGGGCTATTGGATGGAGGCTCAGAGCTTGTGCCAGGCAGTGGACGAGCACCTGAAAGAGACACAGACACAGTACCAAGCACTGGAGCGCAAGTACAGCAAAGCCAAACGTCTCATCAAAGAGTACCAGCAGAAGTGAGTGCAATGAATTGGGGATAATAGCGAGTCAGACTCAATATAATGACTTTAATCAGGATCACAAAACAAAATAAGCATGTTCGAGGGGTTTGTGATTGAAGGAATTAGACAAAACTCCTTCATGTGACCTAGTGAAAGGGTTTAACTGTGTTGTGTGCATATGTGTGTGTCTTAATGCAGAGAGATTGAGTATTTGAAGAAGGAGACGGCCCAGCGCAGAGCACAAGAGGAGTCAGAGGCCACCCACAAGGTGGAGACAGAAAACCTCCAGGAGAAGGTGCGTTTGGAAATCAGAAACCATTTATTCTTATTCACTCACACACTGGGTGATTGCAAATACTAGTTTTATATGACATTTATTAGTGGTGCCTACTCTATCGATTTTAAGATTCTTTTATTTGTCTTTAAAACTTTAAACAGACAGTCACCTACTTACAAATCGAGCCTTCTGTCTATGCATAATCCATCAAGATCCCTCAGATCTTCAGATCAGAGGTGGTGGACTGGTCCTAGAGCAAGAATAAAACTGAGAAATGATCCGGCTTTTTCAGTAGTTGTACCAAAACTGTGGAGGAGCCTCAAGTGCTCAAACACTTTCTGATTTTAAAGTTTGTTTTTCTTGGCTTTTATTGTATTGTAGAGTTTCATGTAATCTCCTTTACTGTGTTTTTGTTTTGTTTGTTTAAATTATGTTATAATTTTCAGCACTGTACAGCACTTTGGTCAACTTTTAGTTGTTTTAAATTGTGCTTTAGAAATAAACTTGAACTTGAAGCATACATCACTATTATTAACCCTATTTTTAGTTGAACGCTGCATTTTTAGAGAGGCGTGTCATGCATGAGATGCTGCAAAAGATGTGAGATGTGAGCACAGCAGTCAAAAAATGTTTGTCTATTTACAAAGAAAACAATGGAAACATAACGGAAGGGAAAGGAAAAACTGTGAACCTGCCCTAAGGGTTTACATTTATTGTATTGTTCAAAATTTGGGGTCAGTATTTTTTTAATTATTATTATTTTATTTTTTTTATTTTTTTGAGAAAGAGAAATTAATTTAGCAATAATGCATTAAATTATCATTCACATTTATTCATTTAGCAGACGATTTTATCCAAAGTGACTCAAAAATAAGGAATACAAGCAATTTATCATAAGGAGGCAATAACGCAAAAAAATTGATCAAAATTGACAGTAAAAACTTTCATAATTGTACAGAAGATTTAATTTATTAAAGAATCCTGAAAAAAATGATAACACATGTTTCTTGAGCAGTAAATCAGCATATTAGAATGATTTCTGAAGGTTCATGTGACACTGAAGACTGGAGTAATGATGCTGAAAATTCAGCTTTGCATCACAGGAATAAATTACATTTTTAAAACTATTCACATAGAAAACAATTATTTTTAATTGTAATAATATTTTACGATATTGCTGTTTTACTGTATTTGTGATCAAATAAATGGAGCCTTGGTGAGCATACAGTAAGAGACATTTTCAAAAATATTAACAACCCCAAACTTTTGAACAGTAATGTATGCATTTAAAGATAAAAGCATTTGCCACATACATAAAAATGGTGACAATAAGTGTACCTGACCTGAATTTCCATCTTTTTCCATCTCAGATTACAGACTTGGAGTCAAAGGTTGGTGCCCTGAAGAGCTTGGAGCCGTCGTAAACCTTCCGCTGTGGAAATGATGGAGAGAACGACAGAAACGCCTTGAACTCCGCCCACTCTACCCTCCGACCACATTTTCCCTCCATGACCTGAAGAGCCTGGTGAACTACAGGAAACATGCTGAGGGGATGTTACCGGGGACCAAGAGGGGACAAAACAAACACTGTACCAGACGCCTGAGGGACGTCAAGCCATCAGGAGGCCCTTTTTATAGTCATTTAGTCATCTTCTCCATTTCTTTTTAAGCGCCCTTAAAGGTATTATGAGCCTCTCTGCTCTCGGCAGGAATGTAGAACCTCTTCGTTAATAAATGTTCACTCACTTGCTTGCAGGAGAAGAATGAAACGGTTGCTGGACAAAGACGGCATGCCCACAGTGTAGGATCAGAGCGAGAGGCGGCCTGTATAGCAGTGACTGACAAGAGGACTGTTTGTATATATTCTGGCATATATTTAAATATTAAAATCGCTTAAGCAATGTTCTGGGGGGGAGGAGAAGGGGTAAGGGCTTTACTTTTCACATCTAGGCAAATAATACAGTGAAAATGGTCAATTTTTGCATGGCAAAAGAGATGGTATCAAGTTTTTTTCTTTTTCTTTTTAGGACAAAATTGGAAAACATGGTGTGAAAACATTTATAGTTAGCATTCAAGGGCTTCTCATGTTTGCTTTCTGTGTAAAAGACATGTTAATGGAAGTGTAGAATGAGTAGGGGCTTATGGGTGATGATTTCTTCACAGGAGAAACATCACTCTGTGCTTTAACTTCAGTGCTTGTGGTTAGTTGGTGCAGTGCTCATTGCACTGCACTGTGTGCCTCGGTCAACCCTGCAATGTCGTCTGACTCTCTTACGTAACAGAGTTTAGACTTCTGCATCAATCAGAAATATGGCCTTGTTTTATTGCTACCCAAAACCTTTCACCAGCCCTCTCTGTTTAAGCAGACTCGTCGTGTGTTTACTCCGATGTAAGTGCACTCAGATTGCACTATAGAGTCCAGGAGAATCCTAAAGTTGTATGCCTCTGTTGGCTGCCATTCCTCCTCTCTCCTGATGGACGTGGATTGATTCAGTATTATCGTTCCATATACTATGATGTGGAATCTCCTTTTAGTTGGATTGTGGTGTTATAAGCCACTTTTGTCTTTGTTATTTTGTCTTAAATGTGTTTGTACTCCTGGGAAAACTGGAATTTTGACACGGCAATTTAAGGAATTTGAGAGTTTAATTATATGGTTTTAAGTTAGCATGTTAGAGATACTGAGCCTCATTCGTAGGACACAAGCAGAAATTAGGTGTCAAGTTTCCATAAAACCACTCTTGGGGGCCATTCACACAGAACCAACGTTTTTTCCCCATTCCACAAAAAAAATTTTGAGACACGTCCAATAAAAAAAGACACCTTTTTTTTTTTTTTTTTGAATTTTTTTGTAATTGGAGCAAAACGCAGCTACATGCGCAAGATGCTTCAAAAGCCACAAGACGCCAGCGCAAAGGTCAACCACGTCCATCTAGCACGTATTTACATAGAAAAACAACTGAAAAGTAGAGCAGTGAAAAAGAAAAAGGCGTTTTGGATGAAACCACCCCCACATAAATGTAAGGGTTGGTTCACACAGAATGCGTTTTGCATTCTACTGCATTGCTTTTTTGTTAATTTTCTCGTAAAACGTATGAGGGTCGCGTTTGTAAGACACTGTCAAGTGTCAACCCTGCGTTCTTTTCTTCTTCATTAGTTAAACTGCAACGGAAGAACACCTTCTGTGTGAACGGTCCCCAATCGGTGGAGTGCAGATTATTTTCTCTAGTTCAATCAGATAGTTGTGTCCTATTTTTACTGTTGGGCTTCTCACGTCAACCATATTAATGAAAGAGAATCGAGTTGGTTTTTCAAATGCCAAAAAACTGTTATTCCCAGCTTAGTATTGAAAACCTTAAAGAGTATTGTAGTTCTTCCCATTTCCCTCCTGAAAGTATTTGTTGTTCAGCTTTTTACGAACTGTTCTCATTTTATGTGACTGTTCATTTTCATGTAGTTTTTAGTATTTTTTTTTATTTTTTATGTTACAAGTAATTTTCTGTTTAACATTGGTTGATCAAGCATCATGTTGATCAAGCAACAGGGTAACACTGAGAATACAAATAAAATAGGTACTAGTACCATGAAAATAGATACTAGTACGGCTTATAGATTAAATGTTACAACGGCTTTCCATACACTTACTGAAGCAGAACGTCTGGAGTGCTCATCACAAGAGGCTTTATTTTAGATGCATCATTGACTCGTGTCAAGAAAAGGGGGCGGGGCAATATCGTATGCACCGCCCTCCGTGTCTTTCATTGGACATGTCTGCGTTTCAGATAATCGCATTGTAAACACGGACTTCTGTACAAAACCAAAAAAACTACAAGAGATTACCCGCTTTAAAAAGATCAACCAAAAACAAATGAGAAACTTTGACCAAATTAAAACCGCAAAATCCAACTAAACCACTTACATGCTGTACAATTCATCCATTGCAGACAGACAATGCAAAAAAAAAAAAAAAACTATGAAACCAAAACAGAGGATAT